TCCAGATTTTAGCTGCATAAAACTGGAATCCTGATTCCCTGTGTTTAGTCTTGACTCTTGGCACCAGCACGAGGCTGGTCCCTGAGGTCCTCAGAGTCCAAGATGGTTCATATGGCACTAACATGTCAGAGATGTACTTTGGTGCTAGGCCGTGGAGAGACTTGTACACAAGTAGAGCTGCTTTAAAGTCTATTCTCTGAGCCACAGGAAGCCAGTGTAGAGACCTGAGCACAGGACTAATGTGCTTGTACTTCCTGGTTCTGGTCAGGACCCGAGCAGCAGCATTCTGGATGTACTGCAGCTGTCTTACGGCCCGTTTGGAGAGGCCAGTGAGCAGGCCGTTACAGTAGTCTAAGCTACTAGAGACAAATGCATGGATAAGTCTCTCCAAGTCAGGTTTAGACACTATACCTTTGATTTTGGCAATGTTTTTTAGATGGTAAAAAGCTGCTGATGTTATTGGTTTGATGTGGCTGTTAAAGTTCAAGTCTGAGTCCATTATTACCCCGAGATTTCTAACCTGATTTGTAGGTTTTAGAGAGAGAGACTGGAGGTGACTGCTGACACTTTCTCTTTGTTTCTGTGGACCAAATACGATGACTTCAGTCTTGTCTGAATTTAGCTGGAGAAAGTTGTTTTGCATCCACACACTGACCTGTTGGATGCAGTGACAGAGTGAATCCACTGGTCCATATTCACCTGCTGTCAGTGAGACATAGATCTGAGTGTCGTCTGCATAATTGTGGTAGGACACATTATTACTTTGTATTAACTGGCCTAAAGGCAGCATGTAGAGATTGAACAGAAGGGGTCCCAGGATTGACCCTTGGGGCACCCCACAGGTCAAGGCCATGTGGTCTGAGACACAGTTACCAATTTCAACAAAGTACTTCCTGTCTTCTAGATAGGACTTCAACCAATTTAGGGCAGTGCCAGAGATGCCCACCCAGTCCTCTAGTCTCTGTGAAAGGATCTCATGATCGACAGTGTCAAAAGCAGCACTCAGATCTAGCAGGACTAAAACTGAGACTTTGCCTGCGTCAGTGTTCAGGCGGATGTCATTTGTCACCTTAATAAGAGCGGTCTCAGTGCTGTGATGGGGTCTAAAACCTGACTGGAAAACATCAAAGGAGTTGTTCATTAGGAGAAAGTCAGTAAGCTGTTGGTAAACAACTTTCTCAAGGACTTTGCCTAAAAACGGCAGATTTGAAATGGGCCGGTAGTTGTTCAGTACTGTGGCATCAAGACTGCTCTTCTTTAGGAGAGGCTTTATGACCGCAGTTTTCAAGGCCTTTGGGAATGTTCCAGATTGTAGTGACATGTTAACTATGTGAGCGAGTGGTGGTAACAAACTGCTCAGCACAGACTTTAGAAATCTAGTGGGTAACACATCGAGGCAGCATGTAGATGAACTCAGACTGGTGATGATCTCTTGGACAGTTTTGTCAGTTACAGGTGCAAAATGAGTCAGCTCTAAGTGTCTAGGTGGCTGCAGGGTTGTTATTGGTGTTGTGGAATTGATGGCATTTTTAATGGTCTGAACCTTGTCGCAAAAGAATACTGCAAACTCATTACACTTAGATGTGGAGATCAGTTCCAACGGCAGTTGAGCTGGAGGGTTTGTTAATCTGTTCACTGTTGCAAATAAGACACGCGAGTTGTTACTGCAGTTTCCAATAATTTCAGAAAAGTACCTCTCCCTTGTTCTACGTAAGATCCGGTTGAACACGTACAACTTTTCTTTATAAATTTCATAATGAACATGAAGCTTTGACTTGCGCCATTTCCGCTCGGCCCTCCGGCACTCCCTTTTCTGTGCCCTGACCGAGTCGTCATTCCTCCATGGCGCCTTCTGCTTATTTTTAACCATTTTAACCTTCACAGGGGCAATGGTGTCCAGAACATTCAAAACACTCGAAGTAACAGAGTTCAACAAATCATCAACATTAGAACATGAGGCATTTTCAAAGTTTATCATTTCCATGAACAGAGCACCTGTGCTGTTATTTATGTGTCTCCTCCGAACAACTGCAGGACCAGCCGGTGGTTTGGGAGAAACAGACAGGTCAAAGAAGACACAGAAATGATCAGACAGAGCAACATCAACCACATTGACGTTTGAAATATTAACCCCCTTTGTAATGAGCAGGTCCAGAGTGTGCTGCGCTCTGCTGTGGGTGGGCTCACACACATGCTGAGTCAGGCCAAAGGTTTCAAGGACAGCACTGAGCTCTTTAGCATTTCTGTCACAGACATTATCCACATGTACATTAAAATCACCTGTAATGACCAAACCATCAAAGTCTGTGCATACAATTGAAAGCATCCTGGTAAAATCATCAATAAAACTTTGACCGTGCTGGGGAGGCTTGTATATAACTACATAGAGTATGGACGGAGATTGTTTTAGCTCCATTTTAAAGGATACATACTCAAATGATGAAAACACCCCAAATGACAACCTGTGCATAACCATATGATCTCTAAATATTGCACAGACACCTCCACCCTTTTTGTTTTCTCGTGTTTCAGATTCAAATTTGTAGTTGGGTGGAGCTGATTCCGTTAGAACAGCATTACCTGTGTTTTTGTCAAGCCATGTTTCAGTTAAAAACATAAAATCAAGATTATACGAAGAGATCAAATTATTAATTAAAAATGATTTGTTAGACAAGGATCTGACATTAAGCACAGCAAGTTTCAGATTAGTTTCAGTAGGACTGGACATTATCTTCTTACAAGGGATATGGATTAAATTTCTCTGATTGGACAGTCTAACTGTCCTTCTGTAATCTGGTCTATGTGGTGTGGCTGTAGATATAGCACTAGGGGAGAATATTGTCTCACAGGGCCCCAGCTTGATATTACCTTTATCATGGCTGTAAGTCCTGGGACAGCAGAGGCCCTGTGCATCCTAGCTCTTAGGGATACCAGCTCTGGGGGCAGGCAGGGGAGGACGAGCAGGGGGAAGTTTGGGTGATGGACCAGATGAAAACCGAGGGGGAGGAGCTGGGGGAGCTTTAGTTTGTGAAGCAGGAGAGTTGAAGCTCCTGTGTGACTTGAGGGGCACAGTTTTATACGGGGGAGAGTTCAGCATAGTTGGTGATAGAAGTCTTGACCTTGCTATATTAGGGGTGAGGGGAACCATCTTAATCCCTGATTTGATCAGGCTTTCAAGATGGTTGGGAAGGCCCATGGGGGAAGGTGGGGATGAAAAGGAGAGGGACAAGTCTCTAGAGGGGGTAGATGTGGCAGGGGGGGCCCAGGGCTGGTCTGTGGGTAGAGGAGGTAATGGGGGTGCTGCCAGGTCTGAAACTTCTGCTGGGGCCGTCACAGACGAGTCCAAGGCCTGTGATGAGGGCCCGGGGGGAGGTGGAACCGATGGCGGGCCTGAATCCTTCACTGGGGGCAGTGGAGGCTGTTGTGGTGCTGGAGCTGAATCCTTCGCTGGGGGCGGTGGAGGCTGTTGTGGTGCAGCTGGTGCTGAAACACTGGCTCGGTCTCTGGCTTCTGCGACAGAGATGCTTCTCTCGTTCCTCTTTTCTCTCACTGGTCGCTCAGGACCCTGTCCCGGCCCATTCTGATGCCTCAGAGCGTGGAGGAGGTGTTCCGTCAGCACTCTCCTCCCACCTCTGCACAGGTGTGGGCCCTTTCCCTTGAACAGGTCCTCTCGTTTCCAGAACAGATAAAAGTTCTCAATGTAGTGCAATCCTCTGTGCGCACACTCTTTGGACAGCCATGTGTTCAGCTGAAGCAGCCGGCTGAACTTGTTTATCTTCCTGTCTATGTTTGGAAGAGGTCCACTAATGAATGCCTTGACCTCCACTTTATCAAGCTCCTTGAAGAACTTAGTGAAATCCCTTTTCAAGACTTCAGTCTGTTCCTTTCTGATGTCCACTGCACCCACGTGCACGATCAGCTGTTTGACTCCTCGGTGTGTAGACAAAACTTTTGGGAGGAGTGTTGTTATCTCAGAGACAGTGGCACTGGGACAGCAGCATGTTTGAATTCTTCCGTGGTTTATGCCACTGATAGCACCGTCTCCTATCAGCAGCGTATCTCTGACCTTGACGTTTGGTCCAGATTGTCTGTCTGCCTGCTGTCTTTTGCCGACTTTATGGCTCCAGTTTCGTGAAGATAATCCATTTTCTCTTTGTTCGTTAGAAACATTAAATTCAGTCTCTGACAGTGGCAAAAATCTGTTTGTAAGCTGTATTTTGGGTGATGTTACGTAGGTATTAACATTGTCTCTCATCACTTTGTGCTGCTTTGGCTTAGCACCAAGTTCTCTCCAGGATGAGGCATTTTGGTCTTTACAGAGTTTTGGAAAAGACACAGTATCACTCACGTTTAAGATGAAAGTAGCAGGTTTTTCACCCTTTTTACTGAAAGTAACTGTGGGCTTCTTACCACCGGATGTCACTGGGAGCGTCTTGTGAAGTCCTTTTTCAGATTCTAAAGCAAAAATCCGTGCTTGTAGCTCATTAATTTCTTGTTGATATCTCCGACAGCGTTCACAGAAGGAATTTGTTTGGTTTCTTCCCCCGGACATGTTGCTGGCTCGTCAGATCGGTTAAAAATATAAAAATGTTCTCCAAAGTCTTGGTTTACTTAAAATAATTCATGAAATGATGGATATAGAGATTTTCCAGGATTTGTAGAAGGAGTAAAACGATTAAAAAGCAGAGCAGGAAAGCGTCTGCACTCTTCAGAAGCAGGAAGCATTAGGTAATGATTGTTCAACTGAAATAAATACCAGAAAATATTAACATAAAGCCTACTTCCACTCTGCCAATTGGAGCTGTACTTTCTTACTGTAGAACAGAAAGTACAGAAAGAAGAGAAGTATACAGTGCATTCATGACCTACCTGAATATAAACTTTAGACTCAACTCATTGACTAACTGTGACTTTATAACTCTGACTTGTGTAGGTCATGGTCTGATATCTTGACACAAAAGAACAGCAGCCCGTCACAGCGGAGCAGAGCTGCCAGCTGAGGGCACATTTCTCACAAAGGTAGCTCTGACTCAGCACAAAAGCCCACCCTCTGATAACAGTAGTAGTGTTTCATAACATCAGGTCTGCACTCAGCTGACTACCTGTGTCCTCTTCTCTCCCCTCCAGCAGTCATGGCTCTCCTGTCCGTCCTCACGCCTGTCCTGGCGGTGGTCCTGTGTCTGTTGATAGGCTTCATGCTGGTGAGGTCACGGGAGACGGAGACCACCTCGACCTCTGTTAAAACTGAGAGGGCGTCAAATGCAGACTTCAGACCGTGGGTGGACCAGGACTTACAGGATGATACAGAAATCACAGCGAAAGAGGACGGTAAGAGCTGAAGAGAAAGTTTTTTTTACTGGACAGGGATGATCTTCTTTCACAGGCAGGTCAAAACAAATAATATGTAGACCATAACCACCATCTCAACACGATATAAAAATTTGGAATAATGTAAAAATCCTTGATCAACAGGTGCATGTATGTTTTCTTCCTTCTGACCCTTTCTTCACAGCTGGGTTAATCAGTAATAGTATATGACCTATAACCTTTTTGTACATACAGAGAGAGTGATCTTTCTCAATTTCTTTTACATGAATCATGCAATTTATTTAAGACTGCACCAAACGAAATACTGTGAAAATGATAGTCAGATTTTTAAAGGGAATGAAATGAAAAACCTGATTTCTGGTTTCACCATAGCCTGAACCATAACCAGGATAAGCCTCATAAAAAGGTTGATTTTGGGGTTGGTTATGGCACATGGTCCAACCAATTCTAAAATTAAGAGTTGTAACTCTATTTTGAGAGATTAAAACTATTTTGAAAGTTTAAAAATAACATTTATATTTTTAGTGTATTGCTCGATGGCAAAAGTAATGAGACATTCCTACTGATGAATTGCTTAAAAATGTTTGCTTTTTTGTTTGTTGAAGGTGGCAGTGCTGTTTGGGCTGAGAAAGCCTGTGAGTTTATCTTCTTTATTTCCTTTAACTTCGGCTTATATTGGAGTTATGATATGTAGCATGTGACATAGGGTATGGTGAATGTGCTAGGAAAGGTAGTATCGGCACGGTCACTACCTGGAGCTCACATAAACGGAGCCTGGGTTTGTTGAAAGTGGCAGTGCTGTTTGGGCTGAGAAAGCCTGTGAGTTTATCTTCTCTATCTCCTTTAACTTTAGCTTATATTGGAGTTATGATATGTAGCATGTGACATAGGGTATGGTGAATGTGCTAGGAAAGGTAGTATCAGCACGGTCACTACCTGGAGCTCGCATTAACAGAGCCTGGGTTTGTTGAAGGTGGCAGTGCTGTTTTGGCTGAGAAAACCTGTGAGTTTATCTTCTCTGTCTCCTTTAACTTTAGCTTATATTGGAGTTATGATATGTACATTCTTGGAACCCATTGGCTGTATTCGTCGTCTGACTTCTGGCAGACGACGATACAGCCTCCAGGGGCAAACCCCCGATTTTTTGGCATTCCGGTTTGAGGAGGCAAATTTCCGTTTCCAACTTCCGTTCATATATATAAGTAAATATGTTGAACCATTGCGATGGATTCAGAGTTTGCAATGACGCCAATTATGTTCCGCCTTGTTAGTTCACCGCACGGAGCGTTTAACCTGGCAACAACTGCAGCCGGCTCAAACGTGATTGGCCAATATCACGCGGACTACAAACAGCCTAGCACCGGAAACCAGGGCTCTTCCGCTCTTCTTCTGGAGGCAAGATCTCCGGGTTTGCCTACAGACTCTACATTCACTGAATGTAGAGTCTGTATATAGAGACTATGCTATGTAGCATGTGAAATAGGGTATGGTGAATGTGCTAGGAAAGGTAGTATAGGCACGGTCGCTACCTGGAGCTCGCATAAATGGAGCCTGGGTTTGTTGGAGGTGGCAGTGCTGTTTGGGCTCAGAAAGCCTGTGAGTTTATCTTATCTATCTCCTTTAACTTTAGCTTATATTGGAGTTATGATATGTAGCGTGTGAAATAGAGTATGGTGAATGTGCTAGGAAAGGTAGTATCGGCACTGTCTCTACCTGGAGCTTGCATAAATGGAGCCTGGGTTTGTTGAAGGTGGCAGTGCTCTTTGGGCTGAGAAAGCCATGTGTAATGTAAGGTAAAGGAGGTTGTTGGGTCGGTGCGGGGAGCAGTGAGAGCTGGCATTAGGGGAGTGTCTCTGGGACACCAGAGATCACTATCTAGCCTCCTGGAGGTGTCGTGGGACCAACTAGACGAAACGCTGGTAAAAGGAGGTTCCCACCTGATGACCCCAAAGACATGTTAGTTATCACTGCTCACTGGTCTATATAGTTAAGCCTTGCCATAATAGCTTATCATAGGGCTTAGGAGATTATTCACTGAGTGCTGATCCTTTCTCTAGAGCACAAATTTCTTGTGTTTATTTGAACTAAAAAATAGGCAAATATTCCATGAAATGTTAATGTTTTCAGGTTTACTTGTATTTCTACTGATTGCTTCCATTTGGGACAATAGAATTTTAACATTGTGCCAACATACCCCATGATTTGGGCTGTTTGGCACAAATGCACATGACCTTAACAACAAATCATTAATTTTAAAAATTAGTACAATTTAGCAAATTTATTTATAGCTCAGACATGAACCTTTCATTTGCTGCTGGTCAGAATATTCTAACATACATTTTTCCAGAGAAATACGACTACTTTTTACTCCACTGCATTTATCTCATAACTTATCATGACTTACTTTGCAGATTCACAATACCAAATATAATCAACAAATAAATTATGTTTATTTTTATAGGTTACTTTTTACTTATTGCATTGTCCTGTGTTTTTTTTATTAAGATAGATAAACACACACAACATATAGCAACACACAGCACAGTACACATATACATATCTGGGGGTCATGTAGTCACAGCTAACCCTCCCTCTGGCCACCAATTTATAGTTGCTATTAGCATGTTAACTGATTCCCCTGAATAAGGACCATAACATATATACATACACATACCGTTTACTCATTCTAGTTGCTCTGTGTTTTAAAGGTTTTACTCATTAGACTGATTGTTTACTTATTATGTTGGTTTGTGGTCTTTTATACTGACGCATCTTGTTTGCATTATCCTCTTTGCTGCTACTGTCAAATATTTATAGGCCTTTTCACCACCACAACTTTTATTAAGTTTTTGAATGCAGAATAACAGTGCATTTCTACACTGTGGTATTGCTCCTTTTAGTCAAGTAAAAGATCTTAGTCTTATCTTTGCCTTTTGATTGGAATGCACCAAATGGAGATTAAAGGGACAGTTCACCCCCCAACAAAAAAAACATTTTTTTTTTTTCTCAGAAGGAAGTGTGCATCTACCCATGGTTGAGAGGCTTGTGACAGCAAGAGAGGTAAACATTAATGGTGTCTTCCTCTGCTGAGCTGTAACGTGAGCTAACTCAGCTGTGCTAGGTGAGCTAGCAGTAGATGAAGGCTTCCTTCTGGGCGGTGATATGGTTGGCAGAACTGCTCACAACAAGGTCTGTGGATTATCTTGAGTAACCAGGTCATGAGTTCTGTAAAGAGACATTGCTGTTGAGTTTTTCAAATGTATTTTTTGTAATTGTTTTGGTATGAGCTGCTGACTGTTGGTGGTAACAGCTGTAGAGATGTTTGCCTTCTCTTGTCCATGAGTAGATGCACACTTCCTTCTGCGCAGTAATACAGTTGGCAAGTGTAGGCCAGTATTAAGAAAATAGTTCCTACATGAAACTGCTCACAACAAGAACTGTGGATTATCTTGAGTAACCAGGTCATGATTTCCAAATTTCTTTTGAGCACCCTTTGAGCACCACAAGCTGAGTGCCATCTAGTTCTATTACGTTTGAGAGAAGGCAGACATCTCTACGGCTGATATCTCCAACACTCAGCAACTCACACCTTTTGGGTGAACTGTTCCTTTATGCTACAACTTTGATTACCTACCAGACAAAGTGGGTCTAACAATTACTGTGGAATTATTAATCAAAAATTGTTTCGACTGAATTCTTAGTTTTGCTTTAAGATGACTAACTTTTCAAGAGTACCAATTTTGCCATTGTCCTTACTGACACCTTTTGAATTTTCATATCCAAAGCTGCTCACTGGTCGTCTTTTTTGTGTGTCATCCTTGTAGATGATGGTGAATGGGGTGACAGCAATGAGGAAGAAGACCTTCTACATGTGCCCTATTCACCAAAACGTTACCCCGAGGACATAATGCTGGAGAGATCCAAGGATTTTTACACCCTGATGAACCAGCGGAGGTCTATCCGATTCATCAGCCCAGAGCAGGTCCCACGAGAAGTCATCGATAATGTCATCCACACTGCAGGCATGTGCACATCTACAAAGGACAAATGGACCACTCTAGAGTTTAGAGTTAGACGCAGGTGTGTAATGTTTTGGCCTTTCTAATCCTCTCCATCTTCTGGACAGGTACAGCTCCTAGTGGAGCGCACACAGAGCCCTGGACGTTTGTTGTGGTGTCAGACCCAGAGACGAAGCACCAGATCAGACTGATAGTGGAAGAAGAGGAGGAGGTCAACTACCGTCAGAGGATGGGGGACAAGTGGGTCCATGATTTAGCCAAATTAAAGTGAGCATTCATACTTCTTCCACACTGACACCATTCAATCCCCATTCCCTAAATTTAAGACTCATACACAATGATTATTAGTCTTTTTGGACCAATGTAAAGTCTAAGTGAATTTTCTAACACTTCTCACAACTTCCTTCCTCTTGCAGGACAAACTGGATAAAGGAGTACTTGGATGTTGCTCCGTACCTCGTCCTCGTTTTCAAACAGACCTATGGGATTCTACCAAATGGCAAGAAGAAGACACATTACTACAACGAAATCAGCGTCTCCATATCATGTGGAATCCTGTTGGCTGCTTTACAGGTGAAGAATAACATAAACCTTTGAAATATAAATCGGTAAACCCCTGTTTATTCGGTCATAAATGCCATTTAAACAAAAGGATGTAAGACAGAGTTTGGAGTGTTTATGAAGCTTTATGGACCCTCTTGGAAATGCATCCACATTTGAGGATAAACTTTTGTTTTACATGTCTGTTAAAGCAACTAAAGGTCTGTTCTTTCTGTCCATTTCCCAATCAGAACGTGGGTCTTGTCACGGTCACATCGACCCCTCTAAACTGCGGCCCCCAGCTCAGGCTCCTCCTCAAACGGCCAGCCAACGAGAAGCTGCTGATGTTGCTTCCTGTAGGTTATCCTGCATCTGACGCCACAGTGCCTGACTTGAAACGCAAGCCTCTGGATGATGTAATGGTGCACATTTGAAGACAAAAATAGTTTTTTCTTCTCCATCTTTTTTACCCTGAGCTGAAAGAGATGTTTTAATTGTGCTAAATCTATCTTTAACAATAAGCCTCTGTTTAGAAGGAGCAGAGAGCAAAGCGTTGTTGCTCCCATGTTCATCATCAGATACACAAGAAAAAAGGGATGACATCACTCTCTTTATGTACTTCAAAATTAACCCCTGATTGACAAGTATATAGTTTAATATGCCACTGCCAAAAAGCCCTACTGTTTTCTTCTGCCATGTGCAGGGGACAGTTAATAAATGGCAAAAGAAACAACCAATCCTGCAAAGTTACTTGACGTGGAACTGCCTATTCAGTGCAAACAATAAGCATCTAATAAAGGTAGTTTTTTATGAATAACATATTTTAGAGTCCATCGTTTTTTTCTATTAATTCTAATCATTTTAACAGTTGTATGAACTGTGTATATCATTATTTGGGATGAGATCTGATCTTACTGCAATATAATGAACACTGGTCCGAATGTTAAAGGGACAGTTCACCCTAAAACCAAACATACATATGTTTCCTCTTAACTGTAGTGCTATTTATCAGTCTAGATTGTTTTGGTGTGAGTTGCAGAGTGTTGGAGATATCAGCTGTAGAGATGTCTGCCTTCTCTTTAATATAATGGAACTAGATGGCACTCAGCTTGTGGTGCTCAAATTGTCAAAATAATACATTTGAAAAACTCAACAGCAATGTCTCTTTCCAGAAATTATGACCTGGTTACTCAAGATAATCCACAGACCTTGTTGTGAGCAGTTTCATGTAGGATGTATCACCGTGCTGAAGGAAGTGTGCATCTACTCATGGACGAGAGAAGGCAGACATCTCTACAGCCGATATCTCCAACAGTCAGCAGCTCACACCAAAACTTCTTCTTCCTCTTCTTCTTCCTCTTCTTCTTCTTCTTCTTCTTCTTCTTTGAAAAATATGTATTTTTGATTTAGCGGTAGACTGTCCCTTGACATTAATCAAACAACCACAAGGTCAACCTCACTCTTACCAAACAAACTGAGAAAGTTGTTTGCTTTGGGATTGCTGAGTAGATTGTTAAGAAATGTAATGCCCTTGGACTTTAAGTGAAGAGTTTGTCCTATAATAATGACCAGCGCAACTCTTTGTTCCCCCAGAAATGTAAATAATAAAATATACTTTAAAATAGCTATTATATTTTTTAAGTCACATCAGTTAATATAAATGGGGAATGATTCATTGATATGCACAAGTTTATGTGTATCTTATGTGGTATCTCACTCCGAGGGGGGACAAAACCTCTCAATAGGTAGGTACATGATGAGGGGATATGGTTTGACATCTTTGTTATTTTAGCATAATATTCAGTAGACCATTCTGCAGAATCATGACCCAAACCTGAAAGAAAATTGTGCCGGTGCTCCCTTTTTTTGAGTAAAGTCATAATGATGGGATTGTTGTGAGACATCCCAGGTAAAATTGTCATCTCCAAAAATGTTGGAACTAGGTGCAACAGTTGCAGAACCTGACCAAGTACATTTTTAACGAAGACATCAGGTAGCCTATGTCAAGGTTCAAGATTCAAGATTAACTTTACTGTCCTACAAAGCGGGTAATTTGTCTTGGGCTCTTCATTCATACTGCAGCCATAAAAATACAACCTACAAAAAAATAAAATAAAATAAAATACAACATAAACAAATCAACATTATACACAGAAAGTAACAAAAACAAAACAAAATAAACAGGAAAAACAAAACAAAAACAAAAAATAACGTTGAAATAATTGTACACAAATGCAAATTGTCAAATCATCATGATCCAGTACCTGTTCTGGCTTTATCTGCTTCCATTTAAAAGCTTTATAGACATGGGTATAAAGGATTTTTTAAAAATCTGTTCAATCTGCATTGAGGCACTCTAAGTCACCTACCAGAGGGCAGCAGCTTTTCATTTTTGACATTTAAATCTGACTGCCAACTCAAAAACCATTCACACTCAGCTCCTGTGTCCTTTCTTAATTTCCACCTCGGGGGTCAGTGAAGAAGAAAGGCCACATTTCCAAGGATAGGTTTCTCTGTTAATATACCAGCCCAGCAAGTTTCTGTTAGAAGATGGACATCAGACCATTTGTCAGTGTATAAATTGGAGATGGTGACAGTTGCAACAGCATTACAGATGACAGAGGAATTACAAATTAAAAAGGCAATTCTTTGCACATACTCATGTTCAGCATTGATGACATACATCACAATCCTATTGTTAATGAAATATATGGAACTTTGTACAGATTTAATTATATAAATATTGCTATAACATTTATGTGGATTCCAGCTCATGCTTATTTATTTTATTTCATTTTACTGTATTTTTTATTTTATTTTATTTTATTATTTTCATTTTATTTTATTTTACTTTATCCTTTATCTTAGTATATTTATTTTTTTATTTTATCCTTTTTTTTCCATTATTTTATTTCATTTTACTTTATTTTATTTCATTTTATTTTATTTTACTTTATTTTTTATTCTATTTTACTTTATATTATTTTATTTCATTTTACTTGACTTTATTTTTAATTTATTTTACTTTTATTATTTAATTTTATTTTACTTTATATTATTTATTTTTTATTCTATTTTACGTTTTGTTATTTTATTTAATTCTATTTTATTTTATTTTATTTTATTTTATTGTGTGGAGGATAAATAACTCTGGCCGACACTCCCACAGGTGGCGCTAATGCACTTTAACGCCGACTGCCACGCGCCATAAACCCTAAACGAAGAAGAAAGGCCACATTGCGCAGGCGTACACCACGTACACCGATGATCAGAGCTGTTGGCTGGATGCTAGCTGGCTAGCTAACTGTCTGTCAAGTCGAACACATTGGGCTAGAAGGGGGAAGCGCAGCGGTGGAGAAGAACGGCGACCCAAGCGCCGCTACGAAATGGCCGGGCAACAGTTCCAGTACGATGACAGCGGCAATACATTTTTCTATTTCCTAACGTCCTTCGTCGGACTTATTGTGATCCCAGCCACATATTACCTCTGGCCCCGGGATCAGAATGCTGGTAAGGCCCGATGTCTGGCTCAGTTAGCTAACTTAGCTAACTAACTAACCTCAGCTAGTGTAACGCCAAGTGTTCATCCAGCAGCTTGTTTTGTAACGTTAACGCCTCACCAGGTTGCTGTCTGTTAATCTGGTTAGCTTGGTGCTACATGCAGATGCTGCACAAGCTAACACAACGTTATATTAACTTGTAAATGTAAGCTAGCAGACGTTACAAACATGATACCCACGTCTCTTTGCTTGCTCTGAGTTTAGTACAAGTTAACCCCGCCAGTTTTACCAATTACCATCCCACTGGTTAGCCATAAATCTTAATCTCACACAACTCGTCAGTATTTCCCGCTTCAGTGGGTAAAAATGAAGCTAAGTGTTGGCTAGTTGAGCTAAAGCTTCCACACTACAGCCAGCGTCACTCCTTCAGCTCCTCAGGCTTATTGACCTCATATATCCTTATTTTAGCCCAGCTATCTGTTTGTCAACAGCAGAGTATATCTAACGCGGATTATGTAACACATGCTAGCAAACTTTACTCAGCTGGTCCACTGGGAATAGCCACATGACAGGTCACCCTAGTTGAGATGTTGCTAACAGGCATTAGCTGTATTGCTAAGTTGGTTTAAGGCTAAATTTTGTTATCATGGTAACAATAAATTAATACACAATCTGAATGAAGGAAACACATGCCTCTACCTGCTTGGTTAACATATTCACAATAATTGCATATTCTCAGTGACAATATCACCCACCCCTGATTTAGATTATTAACTTAAAGCACCTGTAATCCCACATATATTACTGTGGCATTGTCAGAATTGATTACAACTGGTTTGATGGCACTAAAGTGTCTGTAATCTTTTTCTTTCTGCCCATCTCTCCAGAACAACTGCGGCTGAAGAGCCTGAGGAGGGTCCATGGCAGGTGTCTGTGGTACCGGCTCAGGCTGATGAAGTCACAGCAGAGCATTGTCCCAACACTAAAGTGAGTCCAGTGGTTTCAGTTTGTCGGTTTCATTGGGAAACAGGGAGAGCAAACCCTTACCTAATGTTGTCCCGAGACTTGAGACTGTGTTATGTGCTACACATGAGCCAAATGCATCTTGACCTATGATTGTTTGACTGTAACTTTCCCAGCAGTATAATATCAGGTCTGTTTCATTGGTTGTTCGCTTCCTTCTCCTTTGTTGCTGCACGTCGTTTGGGTGTGACTTGCCTCAGCTGTTTGCACTGAGACAGCTCAGTCATGCTTCCCTGGTTCATTCGGTGTGTGTTTCCAGCTGGGCAGGGATGTTGTCACTGCTGTGTGATGATAAAGCAAAGGCCATGCTGTCCATAGCGTGGGCACAGCTTATAAACATGTGTGGAAGTGTGTGCAAACCTCTCGTCAGTGTAAACACTGCGTTGCACTGTTTAACATCTCTCTTAACATGACCCTGTTTCCTCGGTGTTGTTTATTCCTACTGCGTATATGGGTTAATGGAAAGATGCGGTTCAACGTCTCACTCTGCCTCTCTTCTCTCACACACTCGCCTCCCTGTCACTGTGTCTGAATATCTCCTCTTTGTTCAGTCTCTGCCTCCTCTTCATGCTTCTACTTTCCACTCCTGCTCTGTCACTAGACCCACATCCTGTTTTTAACTCTCCAAAAAATTCATGAATTCTTTATTCGCACGGTTGAGTCTGTGACTGAAGCTGGCGGAAGCACCCAGCGTGCTTATTAAGTGGAATGAATCAGCCTTTCTCTCAAAATCTCAGTATCCGTGTCCTCCTCACGACTGTATCATAACGGTGGTGTTTATTATAGGAATCCATCGTGTATTTTTTCTGGTTGAGCCACCCAGACGACTCAGGCCAGCGAGCGGTTGTCATGGCAACAGATGCTGCAGCGCAGGCCATAGGGTTTTGCCATTGTCATGGAAACAAGTTCAACTTCCATGCATAAATACCAAACAACAACAATGTCAGAACTTGTCCTGCCCTTCTGCGTCTGTGCAATAAGCTCTCTGTGCTCTAGCGCTGAGAGCTTGTTTGCATTGCAGATTGGTTCTGCACGATATCTTTTTTTACTCCAAACAGTTACAGTGATTGCAAGCTGCAGTGTGAAAGTGTGCTGTAAAAAATAAGACGGGCCTGATGTTGTCTCCGGGGAGCGCAGACTTTTTTGTGTGTGACATTTTTTTTTCTTTGTCTGTGTGTTGCCATTTTCAGGAAAGCAGCCTTGTTATTTGGCTGGGTCGTGTTCCTGCTGCTCGCCTACAAGGTGTCCAAGCTGGACAGAGAGTACCAGGAGTATAATCCATATGAAGTCCTCAACCTGGACCCGGTAAAAACACACACAAAACACGAAGTCTGCTGTACTCTACAGAGCCTCTGAAGTCTCTCAGGACACCTTTTATCCTATGATAAGAGGATGTTAGACTCATAACTTGTCTAAGATAAAACACAAGATAAAAATATCATCTTTTAGAACTTTAAGACTCTGTAGTATTCTCTATTTTTGATTAAAGGTCCAGTGTGTAGGATTTCAGGGGATATATTGGCAGAAATGGATTATAATATAGTAAATATGTTTTCTTTATTGCATAATCACATTAAAATAAGAATCGTTATGTTTTTGTTTCCTTTAAATGAGCTGTTTATATCTATATAAGGAGCGGAGATCACCATATTGCACGGCTGTAGCCCAGAACAGACAAACCAAACACTGCCGACAGATAGGACCACTTGCGTTTTTGCGTCAGCCACCATAGTTGGCAGTCTCTCCGTGACAAAAGCGTCCGAAAAACACAGATTCTTTTAACATAAAACGGCTTTATTGAGTGTTTTTACCAGTTTTAATCACCAGGGGTCTCATTTATAAACATTGCGTATGCACAAAGCGAGGCCTGAAAGAGGCGTACACAGACATGATGGGAGAAACTCTGCCCCATGCTTACGAACATTTTTGAGATGGGAAATTGGCGACCAAGATGGTGAGGTGGAAGCCTGATTGTAGAAACTATCCAATATTTTTTTTTGCACGCCATATTTGGCTTTTGTCCGTAGTTACATTTTGAGTATGGATTCTATGCACTGTTTTATAAATGAGAACCCTGGTCTGAGAGACCTCTGCGGATAATTCTGCTCCCGGTGAAAACCTCCTGAACGTCTGGCTCTTAAGTTATCGGAGAAAAATGGTGAGCAGACTTTAGCAGGTGCTGGGCTAGTGACCTGTCCTTGACATGCTGAACAGCATCAGAGAAACATTTGTATTAAAAAAATACTTAATTTTGTGTTGTTACCGGTTTAAATCAGAGAGTAAGGGACCTCTGTGGATAATTCAGCTCATGGTAAAAACCTCCTAAACAATGAACACTGAAGGAATCCTAACCCGAAGTTTAGTTTAGCACATGGGAGAAGCTTCAGCTGGTTTCAATCTTCAATCCTCACTGCTAGTTCCCAATAAATTCCCCTAAATCCTCCACACTATGTCTTTAAACCTGTCTCTTCCACTGTATGTGGTGTGCTCGGAGTTGCTGTAATTACATCTCTGTCTCTCCAGGGTGCATCGCTGTCAGAAATCAAGAAGCAATACCGTGTACTGTCACTCAAGTACCATCCTGACAAAGGTGGTGATGAGGCCACATTCATGCGAATTGCCAAAGCTTATGCTGCGTAAGTGTCACACAGTTCTCGTAAAGCCAGACAGCAGGACTGCATTTGCATAATCAATAAACATCTGAATCAATAATGAAATCCCAGAATGTTGCAGTGATTGATTCCTTTACTTTTTGCTCACCTAGTTTTCCGCAGTCTGACCAATGAACAGTCCAGACAGAACTGGGAAATATACGGCAACCCAGACGGTCCAGGAGGTGAGTGATCCCACACATTTGCATTTTCATGTGTCGACACACTGTCTGCGCTCGGAGCCGGTGAGTCAGCCTCTTGTAGTCAGGAATGTGTTAAACAATGGGAGATGAATTGAAACATTCACTCCTGTGAGGACTGAGCCTACGATGGAAATGTATCTCCCACTTTCACACACTCTTCTCTTGTGGGTGTTCACAATGCACGTTCACTGGGCTCCAAGAATAACATGTTTGCACACATTGTGATGGCGTCTTTAAATGGTTTAAATGCAGAGGTATTCTTGAATTTCTTAAAACATTTTCAGTGTCATAATGGGGATAAATCTTCAGGTGATGTGCCATTCCTTCGTTGTCCGTGATGCCAAAGGCTACGTTTACGCCTAGCGTCTGACGACACACTGCTCTGGCACGTACAAACCCCTTAAACTGAGACTTTGAAGACACTGCCGATCCCATTTTAGTTTAAAACCCTGGGGTTAGGTTTTAGTCCGGATGGGTGGACACCCATGTCACACAAACACCCAGCTAATTGCATCTTATCAGTCACGATGTGTCAAGCCAAAACATCATTGCTTGTCCTTTCTTACTTTCTGTGACTTTATCCTTCTTGTGTGGGTTTCCAATCGCCATGTCTGCCAGATAATGCTCCCAATTCCACTCAAAACGTCACCGTATTTGCTCTGCAGCCTCTCCCAATCAACGTTTTTCTCCGCCTTGACCGCCGTTCTCGTACTACTTTCACAAACAGTTCCACCTCGTCGTTGGCCCAAGCAAAGAAATCTCTTGTACTTTTTACTGTCTTATTGTCTGTAACTAAGCGTTTTAAAACAAAAATGATCTCTGAACACACGCATTTTAGCACCACTTCAGAATTAATCTCTGTCCACACCTGAAAACGCATATCACATGACCATTCACATATACTGGGCATGCATGTGTGCTGATGTTCAAACGGAGCAGATTGTCTACTCTGCAGGTGGGTGCTTAGTTACAGAAAATACCACGAAGATGGAGAAAAGTAAGACCAGATATGTATTTGCATGGATCGAAAACAAGCTTGAATTGTTACTGAAAGTAGAACATGAGTATAAGGCTGTCAAGGCACCGTAAAACAGACTGGGAGTCGTTACAAAGCAAATACAGTGACATGTCAGAGCAGTACAGGGAGCATTATCCATCGCCGCAGGAAACCATGGCAATGGCAAAGGATTACTCACACAAGAAGGATGAAATCACAAAAGGTTTGTAGACCTTGTTAGGATGTTTTGGCTTGACGTGTCACGACTTATGAGGCCGAATCAGGAGCAAGTCATTGTTTTAGGGCTTCCAGAGTAGTGTGAGTGCAAGGTATAAACTTCGCAGTAGTTTATGTGGTTTTAAACAGAAAGGTACAGTGTGGATGTAGCCTAAGCAATCAACCGCAGAGTAGATGATCTGCTTCCACTTTACACCAACATGCCCAGTTTATGTGAATGGTCGTGTGATTTTCAGGCGTGCTATAAAATAATACATCATATATCTGAAACTGTCCTAAAACGCTCGTGTTTATGAAGATAGATTTTCATTTTGTTTAGAACGGAAACGTGTTAGTGTGGATGCAGCCAAAGTTGCCACAGAGCCCGGTGCTGGTGAAGGATGCTTCACTGAAATGTGTAAATAGAAGATTTTGTCATATTTTGATCCGTTGCCTCTTATGTCTTCTTTTCTAGCAACCAGTTTTGGTATTGCGCTGCCTGCCTGGATTGTCGACCAGAAGAACTCAATGCTGGTATATATTTATTGATGATGTCAGTGTAGTTATATTTGCTTGAAATGTCATCATATTTATATTGTTATATCTGCGTACCTGTGCAGGTGCTGTTGGTGTATGGACTGGCCTTCATGGTCATCCTCCCTGTTGTGGTGGTAAGTCCTCACCATGCTCTGTGCAATAGATTGTATTAAACAACTGCCCTTTCCTCTTCCTGGGTTTGTCACTTTTCTCACTCTGTTTCTTTTTTGTGTTTGCCTCCTGTATCGTAGGGCACGTGGTGGTACCGCTCCATCCGATACAGCGGAGACCAGATCCTCATCAACACCACCCAGCTCTTCATGCATTTCATGTACAAGACGCCCAAAATGAACATGAAGCGTGAGTTCGCCTTCCAAAACAGGTTTATGAATCTCAGTTGTTTGTCATCGTTTTTTGTGGACTAATTGTAACTGTCACTATCTCTGCCCTGCAGGGTTGGCCATGGTGTTGACAGCAGCCTTTGAGTTTGACCCTCGCAGCAATAAAGAAGCCACCATACGACCAACAGACAACATCGAAGTGCCACAGGTAAGAACAAACATCGATGCTTATGTATACATGTGTAAGAACAAAAGTTTGTGTTTTAGGCTGCTTTCAGACCTAGAGTTGTCTTGCTTTGGTCTGAATCAGGGACTAATTCTGTTAGAAAGTTGCATAATTGCCTAGAGTTGGTTCGTGTTCTCACGGCAGCATTTACAAGCGGACCAGATCAAATGCCTTGTGTGAGAAAGCTGCTCTTGATTGGTCAGAATTTCCATGTGGGAAAAATCCAGGAAGTAAAGCAAACGTTGAAGAAGAATCCACTTGCAAGATAAATGTGACACTCTCTAATGTCACAATGGAGGGACAACTACGCAGGTTGATTTTAGCGCTGCTCATCGTGGACTATATTGCTGTCATTGTTCATTTTAGTCAAACAGTCCAACTCTGCATCACTCCTCATCCTCTCCTTCAGTGCTCCCTTGCAAAAGTGAAAGCCAACCCCAGATTTACTCTCATTCTGGAACAAGCTTTGTCCACATGGGGTTTCTCCTCGACATATTTGCATTCTTTTTTTTTTTTTTTTTGTAGCCTCCTTTTTGTTGTGAGCTGCTCCTACCTGGCCGCTATATTTTTAGAAATTCCTGACCTCATCTGCACGCTGTTTTTTGCTGGGGGCTTCACACTGCTGCTGTTCCAAAGCCCAGACAGAGGGCAGAGTCTCTGCAGATAAATACACCACCACAAATTTCTTAGCGATGCTTGAGAGAGATTATTTTGTATGAGTTAATACATTTTTCTTTTAGGAAAGATTAACCTCAAGTGTCTTAAACAACCTCTCTCGTCTGTCTTGCAGTTAATCCGTGAGTTGGGAAATATTAACGTAAAGAAGAAGGAGCCTCCGTTCTGCTACCCGTACAGTTTGAAGGCCAGGGTCTTAGTGCTCGCTCACCTGGCACGCATGGACGTATCAGAGGAATTGGAGGAAGGTAAGATGCTTAAATTGTCATTGCTTTTCCAGAGACGTGTAGATATATTCTGAAAATTAATTAATTAGTATTACAATTTCTGTGTGTAGACCTCAAGTATTTTGTCGTCTTGCACCTGAGTATTTTTGCCTGGATGTTTGCACAATTTTTCTCTACTAAAGAAACATTTGACCCCCAAATTTTCATAACCTGCTTCACCCCCATTTCAGTTAAAACATCATTCATATGCTCACATAATACACAGCTGGTACAGTTCCATGTCAGCCCTCTCCAAAGCAACACAAGTGGTCAGAAACCAGTTCTTTAGAGTTCCAAAAATGGGAAATAAAACAGCTGTGCAATCTGTTCGGAGTGAAGTTGTGAAGTCAGAGGATTTCAGCATGAATACACAACCTTACCCTGTTTATAGTTTACACTCCTACACAGAGGTAATGATACATGCTCGACGAGGACAAGCTGTTTAGAGCGGTTTTAGGAGTTTTTCCAGCTGTTTGTGAACCATAAAAACAGTCTTGGCAAGTTGTGTTGTTTTGGAGAAGACAGAGCTGCAGTAGTTGATACTGCAATACTTGTTTATTTATGATTAATAACGTTTGTAATTTGATATGGCAACAGATTGACCAATTTTAGCAACAGTAACAAGCTGAGACGTTGTTAACTAGAAATGACTCCTTTGCGGACATTGGAAATTTTTCATCAGCTCAATGAAGGACACTGGGACTTCATTATCGTCTCGATTGAGGATGTTGGGACTTTAGATTTTTATACTTATCAGGTCCTACTGATCCCAAATAGCAAGTAAAAATTGAAAGTGCATACCAAACAAAAGTTCAGGTCTCAGGAGGATGTACATATTTTACCCGTTACAGCCACAGGTACCCGACCTAGCGCAGGACTCTGAGGAGCACGTTATCAGAACATTGTATATGTGTATTTTGGTTCCAGATCAGAGATTTGTGGTGAGGAAGAGTCCCGCTCTCCTCCAGGAGATGATCAACGTGGGCTGTCAGCTTACCATGATGGCCAACAGCAGAGGAGGTACATGCACACACACACACACATATCCACTTTAACGTGAGCAGGAGTTATCACTTAGAATAAAGTTTTCACAAGCCTCAACCCACATAACAACTTCTTTGATAATTTCTGCCCGTTGCCTCCAGGCTTCCACGCTCCTCGACTGGTAACCATAGAGAATTGTATGAAGCTGACCCAAATGATAGTGCAAGGTCTGCAGGAGTCAAAGTCACCACTGCTGCAGCTGCCCCACTTTGAGGAGGAGCACCTCCGCTACTGCATCTCTAAGAAGGTAACTGCAGAATGTGTGTACACGCACACATACTGAACACTTGAGCAACTTAGTGAAAATAATAATGGATAACTCGTCCTCTCCCTCTCTAGTATAAAGTTCGGAGCCTCCAGGACCTGGTGAGTCTCAAGGACTCCGACAGACGCAGCATGCTGCGCTTCCTAGGGGAGGAGAAGTACGACGAGGTCATGGCTGTGCTGGGCAGCTTCCCTCACATCACCATGGACACCAAACTGCAGGGTCAGTCCTGAATTACACACATACAAACACTATTTGTTTGTCCACCAGTACGGCTGCACAGTTAATCAAATATTAATCGCGATCATGATTTTAACTGCCCATAATTAAATTAACCTTATTGACGGCGATATTGATGTTTAAAATGCGTGCTCCACTCAGAGAAAACTCTGCTGCATATCAAATCAAGTGCTTCTTAAACTAAGAGCCAGCCTCAACTTTTGAAGAGCTGTCAAGCCGCCGCAGCAGAGGCAGCCTGTGAGAAACTTTACTGAGTGTTGCGGCTGCAGTTCAGAGTAGAAGAAGTCATGTACAACAGAGAGCAGACGGGCAAAAAGAAAATGTGTGGAGCAGAAGGCGAAGAGCTGGTCCCCCGAAACGGATCATCATTCGTTGTTTAGAAGTATTTCAGACTCAAGCTGAAGACTTGTGTCTGCACTGCAAAGCTACACAACTAACTTGTTCAACCACTGAAAAAAAGACCAACTACAGTCTGCACAATGATGAACCCATAAAAGCTGAGAAGATTAATGTCTCCAACGTCATATCACTAAATCCTCACCAGTGTAGCATCAGTCAGACATCCATAACTGATGCTTTACAGTGCGTCACCGTATTCATCCAGCTCCCAAACACAGACTAAAATAACCACTGCAGTTCCATTCAATTTAGCCAAAGATACGTCCAATTAACATTGATTTGATTTGGTTACATTCTGTAATGGCATATTTATATTCAGTTAGCCTGTCATTTTGGTACAGTTTTATTTATATTTTGCTTCTAAGAGATGCACTGTGATGAAGGACCAGTCTCATTTTGATGCAACGACTTGCAGGAATGTAGCACAACATGGGAGTAAAAGCAGTGCTCAGTTTTTTAAAATGTGAAACTGCAATAAAATTATTTTGTCCCTGAAACCAACAAATAATTGTGATTATCATTTTGACTGTAATGGTGTAGCCTTAGCCACCAGCCCACCTGTGACACGTCTGCAGCCTACAACACCTTAACACGCAGTAATTCCATCTTCGTCTTTGTCACTTTAGCTGAAGATAACTCACTTAAGTATGATTGTTGTCATTATAGCGAGGTTGATGCCACAGTGACAATAGAATTGATACAGAGAAGAGTACGTAACATATAAGGTCTTTTAAGCAATGCTTTACTAATAACTGATCAAAAAAGGAAGTGAAATGGTTATGGTCCTCATGCAAAAGCACAAGTACAGTTTTGTTCGGAAATCCATCCATTCATTTTCAACCGCTTATCTGAAGCCGGGTCGTTGGGGCAGCAGGCCAAGCAAAGCACCCCAGACATCCCTCTCTCAAGCAACACTTTCCAGCTCCTCCTTGGGGACCCTGAGGTGTTCTCAGGCCAGATGATATATGTAATCCCTCCAGTGTGTTCTGGGTCTGTCCCGGGGCCTCCTACCAGTGGGACGTGTAAGGAACACCTCTAATGAGAGGCGCACAGGAGGCATCCTGATCAGATGCCCAAACCATCTCAACTGACCCCTTTCAATGCGAAAGAGCAGCGGCTCTACTCCGAGCTCCCTCCAGATTTCCGAACTCCTCACCCTATCTCTAAGGCTTAGCCCAGCCACCCCACAGGGGAAACTCATTTGGGCCGCTTGTGTCAGCGATTTCATTCTTTCGGTCACTACCCAGAGCTCATGACCTTAGGTGAGGGTTGGGACGTGGATGGACAAGTAAATCGAAAGCTTTGCCTTCTGGCTCAGCTCCTTCTTTACTACGACTGTCTGGAACAGCGCCCACATCTCTGCAGATGCTGCGCCAAACCGCCGATCCATCTCACACTCCATTCTACCCTCACTTGTGAACAAGACCCCAAGTTACTGCTTGGGGCAGTAACTCTCCCCCAACCCAGAGAGGGCAATCCACCATTTACAGCAGAGAACCATGGCCTTTCTGACTGTTTGGAAATGTACAATTAAATTTACCAACAGATTGAGACAAACAAGATTTCAAAAACTGACCACAAACTGTTCAGATTCTTCACTTGTCTTTTCCAAACTTTGGTGTATTGACAGCTCTTTGTCTCTCTCCTTGTGTCTTTGCAGTCCTTGATGATGAAGACAGCAATAACATCACAGCAGGCTCTATTGTTACAGTAACTGTCACCTTAACCAGAAAACGGATGGCGGTGAGGAATGATTGCATTAATATCTGACATACTAATGAATCACCAGAAATCAAATGGATTTTTTTTATGAGACGCACTTCCATGTATGACCACTAGAGTGCACTGTTGACTGTATGCTTTGTTGAATTAACCATCCTGTATGCTGTGTGTGTAGGAGGTGTTTGAAAAGGAGCAGGAGTCAACACCGTGTCTAGCAGAGGAGACTGCCACTACAGAGGAAGCAGTAAGGATAACACACACAGCACGTCGGCTCCGACCGATTTAGATAACACGCTCACTCTGTTTGGGTCAGATTTAGCCACGATTAAAGCTTAATGGTTCAAGAAACCATGCAGTGTTTACCTAACCTCATTTTGTCCGTGTGTGAAGCAGGGGGACACGAGTAAAACCAAAACAAAAGTGTGGCAGAACAAGAGTAAAGGGGCTAAGAAGACAGCCAAGTCCAAGAAGAAAAAATTAACCAAGAAGAAGGCCACTCCTGCGCCTGCCAAAACAAAACAGGCCAATGGCAACGTGGCAGGAAATGTACGTATCCAATCACAGCTCATCAAAGCTGCTTGGTGACTTTTTAAAAACTCATTTAACTGTCACTTTTATCCACGTCACAGGAGGTTGTAGTAGCAGCAGCAGCGACGGCAGTGGCGAAGGAGGAAGAGGACGAGGTCTCCGATAAGGGCAGCGAGTCGGATGAAGGCGAAGCAAACAAGGACTCTCCCAGCGAGAGAGACGAAGACAGTGACAAACAGAGTGACACAGAGGTGGACGAGATGGCTGGCGATGATGAAGAGGTCAGGGAACTTTAAAAGTTATCAGTCCTAATAATGGATGTAAATGGAAACGCTGCTTCTATCTGTATCTGTAACCTAATCCTCTCTTCCACACTTGTCCACCAGGAGTGGGAGGCGTTGCAGCAGAGCATCCAGCGGCGAGAGCGGGCCCTGCTGGAGACCAAGTCAAAGGTGACGCACCCAGTCTACAGCCTTTACTTCCCAGAGGAGAAGCAGGAGTGGTGGTGGCTCTACATCGCTGACCGCCGAGATCAGACACTCGTCTCCATGCCCTACCACGTCTGCACGTTAAAAGACACAGAAGAGGTGAGTTTGTTTATGTTGAAATGGTCTGATACCATTTTCTCATTCCCGATACCGATTCCGATACTTAAAGGCATCAGCTGATACCTTTACAAAAAACTAAATGGACAGCTGTATACAAACTGTATGCTTGTACGGCATGGTTCAGGTTAAACTCGAAAGAGGCGGGACTTTCTAGAGTAAAATACTCCAAATTGCTGACAAATTGCTAGCAGCTAACTTTACGCTATTTATTGGAATTCAGTTCTTCTTCGCCTCTTTTTTTAAAACAGTAGTTGCCATTGACTACACAGTGTAACTCTCCATGTAGGCTGATGTGTTAGAGCGTTGAAGGAGAACTGATTTCTGCAGAAACTGCCATTTTATCCAGGTGTGAAACTACTTGAAAATGTATTGATAAATTACATGATATCAGATTGGTGCATCGACTTGCGTACGCGCCAATACCAGACCTAGCATTTTTGGCAGTATAGGAGGTATTTCTGATACTGGTATCGGTATTGGAACAACTCTATTTGAATGGACAAACAGGCAAATAACAGTTGTCATGGGTCTACCCAAGAACCCAAGTATAGACCTAGGAGCCATTCGGATTAAGATCCAGGTTTTATCATGGTCAGTTGGGTCTGGATCGGGGCCCATTCTTATACCAGGGGTCCTTCCTGGGTCTGTGTATCATTACATTTAATATCAAGTGAATCCATGAAGACATTGCGGTTGGGACTGATCACGAGAGAAAGGCATGAGCACTGTGTATAACTTGCACGATGATCATTGTGGGAGCAACGCTAGCAAGCAGCAGGCTGGTGGTAAGGGATAGTTAGCTGATCGGCTGATGTCCCCTACGATTAACACTACTGCAAAACTAGGAGCGCTCGAGAGGGTCAGTTTCGTGGCACTGTTTAGACCAGTGGTTCCCAACTGGTCCAGCCACGGGGTCCAGATTTCTCCTTAGTCATTAGTTCAAGGTCCACACAGTTTAATACATTCAGCGTCATACTAGTGTTTGGTCATGTCGTCAAGCTAGTTTGCTGTCTCTGTCGAGTAGCTGTCCATTGGTCATTCAGTCTATAGCAGGAAATGGCTTCAAAATAAAAGCTACCCACCAGAAATTCACTGTACTTCAAGTTTGTAAGTCACTTGCAGTTCATTCAGAATAAATCCACGACTTTCAGCATTGTTTTTAATTACATGAATATTTTAGTACAAACATTTACCCGTCAGTGTGGCAGATAACGTTCTGAGATTTACCCGCCAAACAGAAAATCTACTCACATTTGGTGCATGGCAGGCGTTAATTTCGGACTCTCTGTGTGTTTTGCAATAAAATACTTTGATAGTGTATTAAGGTTGTCAGAAGTTTCAATACGTAGACACGTTTCAATACCACATGTTTAAAACGAAGCAATCTCCCTTAATTATAAATTTGATAGTATCAAAAGTACCAAAGCGAAACCAACCAGATTTTCAAACCAAGGCTGCAACTGTGAAAAAACTGAACTGGCCCTCCATCTGTGGCTGTTACGTAATTCTCCCCAGCAGCAAACCCACCATGTGACTGGAGGCGTGTGTTCAGTAACTTAATCTGTACCAGCACAGTGTGCAGGTTGTTAATCAAAAAAATAATAATTCTATTTGGTGTGCCTGGTTTGTACTTGTATTGTACTGAAGTTGAAATTTCTGGTGTTGTGACCACCCTCAGGATGAACTGTAGCTTTTCTATAATCCCTCCAGAGTCAAAAAAAGGTCTTAATAAGTTAAAGTGTGTGTACATGTTTCTTGTGCATGGTAGCCCCTCACACATCCTGTTGCTAGGCAACCATGTGCACTTGAGTCATTATTTCCTCAGAGGAGGGTGTGCGTATGTGTGTGTGTGTGTGTGTGTGTGTGTGTGTGTGTGTGTGTGTGTGTGTGTGTGTGTGTGTTTACTGTGCACCTCTGATGCCGGTGTCCTCCAGCAACAATGAGGATTGACAGCGAGGTAAAAGCTTAATGAAGCCCGTGTAAGTCTGCATGACCAGCTGTCCCCGCTCTGAAGGAATGCAACGGCGAGAGGTGACCCGCCCGTGCATAACGGTTCACTGTCTCGCAATCAATTAGTCTGTCACTTCAACAATTCTTTCTGTTGTTGGTGTTGTGAGGCTGCTTAGACACTGTGTGTTTGACAGACGTGGTTTTTTTTTTTTTTTTTTAGTGAGGGCAGGAGATTTGCTTTCATCAACAAGGCAGGGCAGTAAATTGCCGCTGCGTTCACAGCTCATTCTCCGCTCACCCGCTGAATAATAATTGGCCTCATTGTGCTGATAATTAGATGTTTGCCATATGTAATTGCACGACATGGTAATCACAGCCTGAGGTAATGCTGGTCTAATATTTACAGTTGGACCCCATCATCATGTCAAGTCATTTTTATTCATATAGCCCAATATCACAAATCACACATCTGCCTCAAGGGGATTACGATCTGTACGGCACAGGACTTCCTCTGTCATTAAGCTGGGCACACACTATGAGAATCGGGCTGATTCAGGGCCTGATTCCCTCCTCCTGACAGTCATCAGCAAAGCCTTTATTTTCTTTGATGGTTCTAATCATCTTGCCAGGATCCCTGTAATGTGAGGTATGTTAAGAGTGTTTTTAGGGCCCTGACACACCAAGCTAACGGTCGGAAGTTGGTCAACGTAGGGCCATCAGTGAGCATCTGCTTCCTTAGTTTTTGCAGTGTGTGTGTCGCACCGTTGGGATTAGTCGGCCAGTTGGCTTTTTTTCTGGCCAATTCAGCGTGTTGAATCGGCAGTTCAGCTCCGTGCATGACCAGAGAAATGTATATGAGGAAAGCAAACTAACGGCTAAAGTCAAGAGGGCGTAAGATCGAGACAAACTTGTTTTTATGAGGGAAGATTATTCCTTAAGTCATTGAGCAGCTGAGCAGAAATGGTTCATAGTTGGTTGTGTTATTGTTCACTAGCATACATTAGATATCCTTCGTTCTTTCAACATCGGGATGTGTTGTTAATGTGCTAACTGGCTAACTAGCGTCTTGCATCCGTCCTGTCTGTCTTCTAACACACGGGCAACATGAGGCCAAGTTACAGTCAACCTTTATTGCCACCAGTTCTTTGATGTCAGTCTATGTCGGGGTCTTTACACCCCCTGTTTTGCTTGGAAGTCCATCCTGGCCACAGCGATTCAAAATCGCAAATATTCAGTGTTTACTAGGGATGCAAGATACTGGATTTTTTTGCCGATATACCGAACTTATTAGGCCGATAACTGATACAGATATCGATATCTACTTTTTTCCCTGCCTAATTTTAGTGATCATCAAGTCTCTTCTGTAGTGGAATTAACATCATATTATGCATGCATGCTCTTATTGTGACGGCCCACCAGCAGATGGAGACATGAAATACAATGCTTTTCAATGTATGTAATATTCATTTATTGTGCAAAGTAAGAAAAAGCATGTTGGCCAATTCTGATAGCTCATTTTAAAGCCTAATCAAATGGGATCAGATTCCTTAAGGAGGCCTCAGGATAAGAGAGTAACTCAGGAATGTGAGCCAAGTCCTCAACGAGGGCGCGTCTCAAGCCCGTTGTAGAGGGGAGGTTCCAGACGTAAAAGCAGATTCATTCATTGACTGATACCAGTGATGTTCTGGTATTTTCAGTATGTTCGACGATTCTAATAGTTCAGTTTTAAAGCCAATATCGGCAGATATCGATGACGTGCCGATATTATCGTGCATATCGTGTGTGTGGGAGAACCCTGAGGATCGCAGGTGGTCCCGTGGATCTCAGAGGGTTTTATTGCAATATCACATGAGATTCAACTCAGAATTTACTCATCTCCAGATCGCACTTAAGATATACAGTCCATGCTCATGCCATCTCTCTAAAACCTTCAATATTTTGTCTTTTTTGATAATTTCCTGTAAAAAGTAGTGCAAAAATTCACAGCTAGTTCTTCCTGCCTGTCATCTGCCATATTCGTCTGCTCTAAAGTTACGTTTGATTGTGTAAGATTTCTGGCTTTTTAGAGTCAAGATTGATGGTTCGCTGTTTTGGGCAAGTCGTTGAAAAGTTACATTTATCATCAGCTGAGGCTCAGGAGGTAGAATTGGAAGATCAGGAGTTGAACCCCGGCTTCTCCAGTCCGCATGTCGGAGTATCTTTGGGCAAGATATTGAACCCCAAATTTTCTTAACGGCTGTGCCATCAGTGTGTTAGTGCATGTGAGTTTGTGTGAATGTTTAAACTGAGTAGCAGGTGGCACCTTGTATGGTAACCTCAGCCACCGGTCTATGAATTGGTGAGTGAGTGGGTGAATATCACATGTAACGTGATTTTGAGTGCGTCCCTCTGCAGCTCGATGATTGTGCGTCATCACTAACAGCAGATTGTCTTTTTAATAAGTTGTCTTTTCAGGTTCGCCTCCTTCTGTTGCCTCAGTTAGTGTTTCTGTTTTTGATTAAATAAAAAAGAGGCCAAACAGTCTTTAAGTGCTAATAACAGTCACCTTGTTTCTTTCTGTGACTGCAGTTTTTATTTTGACATCAACAGTAACAATCCAGCCACAGTGAAGCACTGCCACATGTTCTACTGTAACACCATATTTAATACATCAAGCCATTATGCCCTCAGTCACACAGTTAGATGACTGTGCCTGGAGGGCTCCTGTGATTATATCTGACAGCTGTTTGTTTGTGTGTGTGTGTGTGTGTGTGTGTGTGTGTGTGTGTGTGTGTGTTGTTCCCCAGGTGGAGCTGAAGTTTCCAGCCCCCTCCAAAACAGGCAACTACCAATATTCTGTCATCCTCCGTTCTGATTCCTACCTGGGACTGGACCAGATCAAACCACTCAAGGTGATAAGAAAATCTGTGTGTGTGTGTGTGTGTGTGTCTGTCTGTGTGAGTGTGATGCGTGGAGGATGTCTGCCACTGCCCAAACAGTTTGGCTGCTGAATGGGCTGAGACAACAGACCCACCAGCCAAAATCTACCAGCAGCTGAACAATGGTGTTAATTGTTGCCAAGGTGTTTGGAATGAGAGGGTCTGTTAGGAGCCAAATGGAGCATGAATTGCTCTGATATTTAATTATTCCAACACCTGATAGACATATTAAGAAATTAATGAGTCTCACAGATATACTGTATCTTTAATGCTATTTTTAAGGTTGTCCACAGTACATAGAGTTATGTTATGGGTGTATATTATGGTCTGTGCTTCAAATTAGCTTTCAGTTTAAAATTTAGTATAATGTAAAGGTATAAAGCTTTGCAGCTTTATTTATACAAACAGTTGAAGTAATTCCAATACATTTTGATTCCCCTCTATGGTCTATATTTCTACACATTTCTGTATCATGATGTTGTTGAATATTATCTCTGGCCTACACAATTCAAGTATTGCTTAAATAGGCTACAGTAATCATTTTACATACACACAGGTTTTGATTTTTTTAGTCAGCTATTGAAAAGACACTACCATGTCATGTCTTTATTGCAGTGAATTGTGGGCAATTATATCAGTGAAGCCTGTCTCCCATGTGGACTCTCTGGAAGTCTGCAGAAAGTCCGCTTTAGGCCCCTTGTGGACTGGAGGAATTGTGAATTTTGACAGCCCTAAGCACTCCCAGACTTCCAGGAATGTGCCCGCAAATCTGCAAGTGTGGTGAAGTCTGGACTTTTGGATTCAGCTCATGAGTGACTCAGACAGTAATAAATTCTGAACGCAAGTGGTCAGCAGGAGACACATGATAGACAGAAAATAATCTGCGCTTAATTTTGTAATCATTAATTATTTAAAATGTAAATCCAGCATATAATGTAGATATTATGTATTGATTGATTGAAATCATCTACAGTGTCTTTTGCTGTAGCCCAGTAGCTTTTGACTAGTGACCGGCCTGTTGAAACAATAGAGGGGGTGGGGTTAGCGAGCTGTCAGTGTCAATGTCAGTGAGGTCAGGGAGAAAATGTGAGAAGCTGGAGGTGGTGATAATTAAAACAAAGTTAGCCACAGGTGAACATAAGGTCGCCCTGTAGGCTGGAAGAGGAGGAGAGGGAGCAGCCAGGCTCCGTCCTGGGCCCTCTGTCCTTCCTCCCGGCCAGAACACAGAGTGTCTCTGCTGGGGAAATATAGCGTGGAGAGTCTGTGATCCACCGAGCTGGTCCATTTTCTGCTGGTGGCTTCTGCCGCCACACAGCCTGCTTTTTAAGAGGGCTGGGTTGGGGCTCAGTATTTTATGTGATGATCTCAGATGGACCAGGTTCTGGCTTCACCTCAGGTTGTAATTTTTTTTGGCCCATTGAGAACTTTAATAGACACAAGTGTGAACTATGTGTCTCAGCTGTCCACTTGTGTTTGGATCACCAAAAACGCATATTAATACCAGGCATAAACAGGTTCCATGACTGGTCGAGCACTAGAGAGTTGGTGTGCCTCTTTAAAATGACAAAACATACACGTGCTAAAACATAAATCTTGTGCTTTCCCAGCTGGAGGTCCACGAGGCCAAGGCCATGCTGGACAACCACCCACAGTGGGACATCCCCGACACAGAGGAGGAGGACGAGGAGCAGGAAGACAGCGACGGCATCGAGGAGAGCGAAGACGACGACGAGGACAACGACTGAATGCGGATACACACACGCTCAGCCCTCCCCCCCATGGACTGGCCACCCACCCACTCCTGACCCCACAACTGCACTCGAGCAGCGAACGAGGAGCGGCTGTGCCCACCACACAAACACACACACACACACATACACACACACACCAAACACACACTGAATCACCGGGGACAGTTTCTACACGCAGAGCCCTTCTCCTCTTCCATTTTATCTTCACATGGACTGTGACCCCGTCCCCTTACATTTCCCCTTTTCTACAGAGACTTGTTCATTCACTTTCCGTTTCTGGCGGAAGAGAATTCTGTGAATACTTTACCCAAGCCCGCGTGTGCGAGTGGATGTGCACGTGAGAGTGTGAGTGGATGGTGTGTGTTTGTAACCTTGTATGTGTTTGTACAGGTATGAAAGGTTGACACACTGTGGACTGGAGGACCTATTATCTGGGCTCTTAACTTCTTTTCTTGAGGGGGAGAGGGGGGGGATGTATAACAGCTAATTCCGTTTGCAAATTAACACACACAAAAAAACACATGACCTCCGTACAGGACTCATGACGTCGCTCTCGCTCCTAATTTTAAAAATCACTCAGCACCGATGTTTTCCACACCAATGATACTTTCTATTGTACACTTAAAACTGCAGAAGTGTGAGCTTTAGCCCCGCTCGCCGGGGATCACATCAGCCATCGGGGCGTTCGCTCCTGTCAGCGCATGGGGGCACAGTTGAGTCTCGTCAGGTTTAATTTTTAAATTTTATTTCCTGCTGTCAAACCAGCCAGTCACTTGTATGTACTTGTATTCACTGTATGTTTAAGGAGACAGATAGATACTGATCTCTAGTCAGTTCTGTTCATGCTGCCCCTGCGACCCACGTCAAACTGTGTCTTTCTGAAAGCAGGTGGATCTTAAATGAATCAACGTCAAGTATAAACGGGGGGAAAACTTGCAGTGTTAAGATTTGAATTACTGAGTACTCTTCTTGTCCATATACTACATACAAGTCGTGAGTTTTCAGTCTTTTTAAAAGGGGCTCAGATACTGATATATATAGATATATACATACTTGTGGCATTTCAGAGAAGTGACTTCCTTTCTCTTCATCCTTTTCTTTTTCCTTTTACAATTGTAGCACATTCCAGTGTATACTCATTGTCCAAAAAGGCCTTATGAATACAACTGAAATACCACAACATAGACAAGTCCTTGGGTGCTATGCACCGAGTGTTTCTTGGGAGAGCGGAAAAAAAAGATTCTTTCTTTTGTGTTTGTAACAGTGTTTTCCTTTTGTTTTAGTCTCTTCATAGTAACATACAGCTCCTCAGTCTTGGAATACATATCACTGATTTCGCCATGACAAAGCCTCTAATAAGTACAGTTTTCATCTGCTGAAAGAGGATTAGCAGTCGTACGGGACATGTTACCAGCCCTGTGTTAAAGGGATTGGAGTATGACGCTCTCATGATCTGGAAAGTGTCTCGAACAAAAACCTGTTGACAGTCACTTTTAGTGTGAGCGTACTCTGTCCCGCACACATTTCCTCTTCAGTGATTCAAGCAGAACGAGCTCCATTTTGTAACTGCCATTTCAGATGGAATGTTTTTTTTCCCCGCCACATCATGAGGATCTTAGTTCTTAATTTTTCTGTCTGAAGAATAGGGATGTCAGTGGCCTCATATATTTTTAACCGGTTACAGTTAATTTTGCTACTCTTGAGTTCAGTAGTAGCACTAGCACTATGCTGTAACACAGCAAAGCTAAAAAGCAATTCATGCTATAAAGTTTAGCTAGCTGCTTTTTTAATGTGCACTAACGGGGTTCAGTGGGAGCTAGCAAACGTTGCCGCTTGGTAATTCTGCTGGTAGTGCCATCCCAACCCATTAAGGCGTTGCTGTGGAAACATCTTGCCCACCCTTTGGTCTCCACCCAGGTCCATTTGGTGAGTTAGTGGCTTAATTTCGAGCTGCAAAACCCTTTTAGCATTGTTAACTATGTTAGCACTCTTGGCTCTGTTAGCACTGTTAGCAGCAGTTAGTGCTAACATAGTTAAGCTCCTAACACACTTGGGCAATCTGGGGAGGAGCGAAGGGTGGCCACCATGTTTCCGCATCAACGCCTCTGGTGGGAAATTCAGTGTGGAGTCGGTGATCCAATAAGCTGGTCCGTTTTTCGTATTAGAAGCCGACTAGCGCTTTTTGGGAGGGTCGGGCTTGGGCTCGATATTTTATGTGATGATCTTAGATGGACCGGGTTCAGGCTTCAACCAACGTGTGCCGGTTCAGTTTGGGTTGTAATTTTTTCGGCCCATTGAGGACTCAGGTGTAAACGATGTGTCTCGGCTTTCCACTTGTGTTCGGATCACTGAAAACGCATAGTAATACCTGGTAGAACAGGGATGTCAACAGCCTAGAATATTTTTAACTAGCCATCCTGACCCATGGTGGCATTGCTGTGGAAACATTGTGCCCACCGTTTGGTCTCCCCACAGTTCTCTTCTGTAAGTAAGCAGCTTTATTTGAGCCGCAAAACCCTTTTAGCATTGTTAACTATGTTAGCACTGTTAGTGGCGCAGTAGGGCTAGTGATGCTAACATAGTTAAGCTCTCAACTCACTTGGGCGATCACGGGAGGAGCTAAAGGTGGCCACCATGTTTCCGCAGCAGTGCTGTCCCACCACCTTGACCCAGGATGACATTACCAGTGCTCGTCAAATGAATGGCGACACTAGCTAGCTATTACCTGGCTGGTGTGCAGTGAGGAACAGCTAGCTAACCAGTGGAGACCGTAGAGAGGGCAGACCACCTCTAAATGGATAGCGCTTCGAAAAAGTGACACTAAAGCTCACAGAGTCAATGGAACGCTGGACTAAAAGCACCTCTTGTATTTTTCCATTTTTTTTCTCCTAAAAATGAACCAGTTAGTTGCCGGCTAATGGGTGCTGGGCTTTTTAAAGCAAAGTTAACTGAAGCTGACATCTCTATTGACGAATACAGAGCAGTTCTGGCTAACCAACAGGTCTCCATCTCATTTAAAATTAGTTGTTTTTTGTCTCATTTAAACTGTAGTTATAACAAATGTAACACATTGACTTGTTTTCAATCTAACCTTGTTTTTTGTTTTGTTTTTTTTACATCTGTTAGACTCATGAGTGCAAAACAAAAGTAAACAGAGCGTCCTTGTGTTGCTCTGTGGGCTCTCACTGTACGTCGACGACTTGACAGTGTTTAAAACAAATCTCTCACCATGATTATCCACACTCAACAGTTAATTTCTTTATACTAGTGTGTCATGTCAGTGTGGGAGAGACAATGACACTCTCCCGACACCACATACATACACACACTCACAAACTCATATGCGCGCACTATACCCTCCTGTAATTGTGTTCAAAGCAGGTGTATGCTAACAGGTAATATTGTACTCTGAGTATTTATCGCTCTGCAATAGAATGTAGCATCAGTGATTTACGCTGTGTGGAAAAAAAAACTGCAGTGAGGTTAAATACGACACCATCTCTCCCATGACAGACTTGTCCAGGCGACTGGCCGGCAGGCCGCCTCAGTTTGGACAGACTACCCAATGACTATCTATCTGCCACTTTTGTTTACAAAGGAACTGTCATTGTAAATGGAAAAATATATTATTTGTATTTAAAATCATTTCAAATAAAAACTTTTAAATGAGATGGTGTCATTATTTTCCACGTACGCTTTAGGTAGTTTATGATGGACAGGCCTTTAAAAGAATATACCAGACATGTTAGCTGCTAGAGAGGAAGACTGTCATGGCATTTTCTTTTCCTCTTGGCAATTTAATGAATTTAAAACGTGTTAGGAATTCCTGAAGAAAATGTTTTTTTTCGCATGCCTCCACAATGAACGAGGAATCAAAAAAATTCGACTGCATTTAACAACAGCAAACTCTATCTAATCATCCAGTTACAAACTCACACAACTCGTGCAGTATAATCCAAGTCTCATTGATCCAGTCATATGCTCAGTACTTCCCAAACAGACAGCCATTTCTGACAGGGAACTGAACTTAAACTGAAACTTGTCCATGCTCTCTTCACAGCCAGCCACTTTAAAAGTTAAGTTCGGACTCACCAAAGTCACACAATATCATAAAAGAGCCCATTAATCAAGGCAGTGGTAGACCAGCAGCTCCTGTGTTCAGTGAGGTACAAATACTGTTTTTTGTCAATGGAATCGGGCTTTGAAGAGACCATAGACAATTTTCACTTTTAGTCCAGTTCCCCTTCGTAAAAGTTCTGTCTGTTTGAAAAGTACTGAGCATACGACTGAATAAATGAGATTAAACCATACGAGTTGTGTGAGAGATTGTATACAGATGTTTTGATATAGTTTTGCTGTTGTTAAATTTGGATGCCCTTTTACTTAAATTTTCTCCATTTGTTGGTTCTTTCTTCACTGGATGTATACGAGAAAAATGTTTTCTTCACAAATTCAACAATACATGGATGAGTATTTGATATGCCAATGGTCATTTGGGAGGTGAAATATTCCTTTAAACCACTAAACCAGGGTAAGGCAACCAGCAGCTACCTTATAAGAACTGGGAAGCAGTCATCCAGAGGAATATTAAAATCACACAGATTATTGTCCAACAACAAAATGAAGTCTTCCCTTTCATGTCAGACATTTTAAAGATATATATTCATGTCATCCTTTCATTGTTTGTACCTTGTATCAAAGTCAAAGACAGTTCACATGAAACATACCAGCACAATCAAGTATTAACAGGAGTTCAAATTTTATCATTGTCGGCCTAACGTGATTCTTATATTCTCCATCCGTAAAAATTTGTAGCCTATACACTGTATTAAAAAAAATGTTTTAACATTTTGTCAACTAAAATGTGCTGTCACACACTATGCCTGGCACCTTTTCCTCTGAAAACAATCTCTAGCGATGACTACGTTAGTCTTGAGTCCTCCTTGCTAGGTTAGCTGTGGATTCCAAATCCAAAAAGGGAAATGTGTCAGGGGAAAATAGAGAATTTAATAGTGCATGGACAAATTTGTTTGCTTTCATCAGCAAAGATGTAAATTTAAAATACCGTAAAACTTAAATTATAAGCCCAGCCCCAGACATTTCCTTGTATACACATGGGGTTTTGATGCTGTAGTTGCATGTAAGCCCCTAAAGTGGATCCCAGTGTGTCATGCCATACACTGCCACCCAGTGGCCAGGTGTTGTAAGTGCAACACAAATCTCTGAAAACAAAGATGGCCGACAGAATGCAAGAAATGTTGTGCAGCTCAGGAATTTATCACCAATCCTACTATAATAGAAGAAAAAAATGGCAAACATGAAGTAACATATAAGGAGCAATACAGTTGTTAAAATAAAAGTAAAAGTATTGATTTTATGTTGGAAAGAAATTACAATTAATCTGTCCACTAAACTGGACATCATGCAGCACTGGCCATATTTTAACTACAATTAATACCAATACTGCAACCTTGTTCCTCATCTGCAGTGACTTTGTGGGCTGTAAATAAATTAATTTATATTATCAGAATGTAACTTGCAAATTCTGTGACAAAAATATTTTGACAAGATGTTTTTGTAGGAAAAGTTTATTAAAAAAAAATTATATAGTATAACAGGGAGCAGTGTGTGGCGGGCTGAGGAGGGAAGAGGGTACAAGAGGGAGGTGTAGAAAGAGAAAAGGGGGAGGCTGAGGAGTCAGAGGCAAGGTTCAACACATTTGCACAGGCACTTAATAGCATTGGAGTATATCAAAATATGTGAACACTCCAGTATAACAGCATTAAGAACATATTTCTATAGTTTAACATAATACATATTTTTTTCATTGTTTTTCAGTAAAAAACTTAAACACATGTTGTCCACCCCAGTAAAAAATGCTTGTTTTAAAATAACTAGTCCATACCCATTGAGTACAGCATACCATACCATGACTTAGGCCTAGTCATAGCAAAAATTAGAGGAAAAAACAAACAAACATTGGACCACAGGGGGAGCCACAGCAATCGGTCACATTTTAGACATTTTTAAGCATTTTTCTGTTGTTATAGCGCCACCCAGTTGCCAATTAGTGTCACATTTCTCCAGTCACCTTGAGGCGTCCTGTGCTACATATCTAGCAAGTTTAGTAACAATCCATACGGCGGTTAGGCCTAGATAAGAAATTAGCTCTCTAGCGCCCCCATTTTGTTTGATGGGGTCAATAATGGAGGGGTCCCCTCAGATTATGTGTGGTCATATGCCTACAAAGTTGCATGGTGATAAATGAAACCCTTGAGATGTTATACACCTTTATGTGATGAGCCACGCCCTCCACAATATTCATTGCCTTATAGAAGCTCAGTTTTAGTAAGTTTTCCAACTTTTGCTAAGAGGGAACTTTAGATATTGGTCCCTAGATTATGTTCATCGAGTTTCATGCAGATCGGTCAAACTTCCTAGGAAGAGATCCATTTGAAGTGTTTTTCAAAAAATTCAAAATGGCAGAAAATCTATATAACCGGAAGTTATGGGTTCTTGAGGCAAATGTGTTCCTCATGAGGAGAGGCATCTCTGTGCAAAGTTTCATGTCTCTACAACATGCAGGGCATGAGATATGCACATTCAAAGTTTGTAATTTCACTCGGTTGCTATAGCGCCCCCTTTGGCCAATTGATGTAATATTGCTTCATTCGCATCCTCCCATGACCCTCTACCACTGTGCCAAATTTCACATGGATTGACCAAGTCAGTGAGGAGAAAAACATGGAACAGAGACACAGACACACAGACAGAGTTTTCGTCATAATAGTAAGATGAACTTCAAATTTTTGTTTTTCATGCCTGCAGTAAAATGTTGACCAAAGTTGTCATAATTCATGCATGAATCATTTAAATCTATAATGTTGATGGGCTAAATTCAGCTTTAAAGGCTGTGTTACCTTCATTATGAGGCTCAGATTTAATCGGACAGATTGTTTTCCCCTTTTTTTGGCTAAAAATGTCTCTTTAGACTGTAAAGGTTGCTGACCCCTGCACTCAGCCACCATCATCTAAGGTCTGTCCTGCATTGTTACCCAATCTTGTGCTGATGTCTTGTAAAGGAACCCTGTCAAACTCTGTCTCAGCATCTGTTACTCCACTTTAGTGTTCTCAGGTGGTTCATATTCCTGTGATGGGTAAGTAGAGGTCCAAAACTGTCATGAACACCAGTTTCCTCTTCATATGACAGGTGTGGGGATTCCCTGTCGGTAAGTTTTGCAAATGTGAGGTCAGTTTCTCAAGATAACATCACGATGAGGCTCATAAGCTCCTGGAAACACTAATAGCCTACCTGTCAAAGATAGGATCAGTGTGTGTGTGTGTGTGTAGATTCAGCCTAATGGACAGAAACGACAACGGTATGCAAGCTAATAATTAAATTATGAGGCGCATGATAATAAAAATAGCAGTGTAGGAATTGTTAGAAATTTGGGTTGAGCTCAAACACCCACTCCATATCTATCAGCCAGTGTTTTTGTGATATCAAAAGGGGGCTGAACCTCTCCAGTTTGAGTGCTCCTCTTTTTTTTTTATTTACCGTGCTGTCTGTGCCTCTGCAGGTAAATGAGATGCAGCTTTAAAGCCAGATAGGGAAATCATCCTCACGATTCTGCCTCACCACAACTTGCGCCCTTGAGGACGTTGCAACTCCTGCCAACACCAAAACCCTCCGGACAGCGTCGGGAAGGTCAAAACTGCGGCTCAGCAGACTCCACACCAGACTCCAGCCCAGCCCGCGGTGCTCGCTCGCTTCCCTGCCGCAACTGCAGGGGTGGAACCCGGACTGACCCGAGCCGAGAGTTCCGTGGTGTTCCTGCCGCCGCTGCTGCTCCATGCGCCGGCTCAGTGTCTGCACGCAGCCCGCCTGCTGTGGAGGAATGGATTCCTGCCGCTGATCGACCCCATCCTGATAGGTAAAGATATCACACTCTATCACTTAAAGGCACCATTTATCCTAATATTTTATAAGATGATTAAACACAGAACACATCAATGTCAAATTATTCATCGCAGATTACACTACAGTAGGCTGTATAACCTGCAACAAGGTCACTGTAAACTCACTTCAGTGCCCGTAGAAGTCTGTAGAGATATTTATAGAGATGCCATATGCTGCTATGCTGATATATAGACTCCTTAATATACTATCCTATTTCAATTTGAGATGATAAAGATCCTACATGCCTGTAAGTCTGTATGGACATTTTTGTAATCGTCATTAATATTCAAGCCAAATTTATTTTCTCCTGACACATAAAAGTTGATTTTAGTGTGCTTTAATAAATCCTCATTTCCCTAAACACTATGCACAGGTAGGTTTCAAAGACAGCAGTGGGCTCACATTGGATATGCTGACAGTTAACTGTTGACCTCCCTCAAACCAGACTAAATTTGCCTTTGAGACCACAATGCAAAGTGCCATGTTGGTGGTACAGTGGTGTGTGTGTGTTGGTGGAAGAACTAATGCATGAGTGGAAAAGAATGCAAATAGTCGGACAGAACAACACAACAGCTCTTTTCTACTGAATATGTTTGGGATCAAAAAATGCTGGGCGACAATGGAGGCGGCAGAGGTAAAAACCAAGGCCTTAGATTAGGTTATGTAGGGCAGGTTTCTCTCACCTGTCTTACCTATAAACTTAGTAGTTAA